CAGCACCCCAATCAGAGAAGCCTGAGTGACAAACCTGGGCCCCACACCCAAGAAAAGAGGGTGAACCCCGCAAGCGAGTAAAGCAAATTCAAATTCCTATTACAAATGCGATCAAGACACGTGAGCCACCCCGGAGCCACGCCCCGAAATGGGGGGGATGCATGCATGCTCCTAAGGCTCATTACATTTAAATAATTTCCACAGGTTTAGATAAGAAAATGAGAGACGCTGTTTTGAATTGTATTTTCAGAGGGCTGCAGTGTTGCTCTGGAGAGGGGCACCATGGGATTAAACACGGCACACACTTCTCCAAATAGCATTCCTTGTGATAAGACCACAAACAGAAAAGGGGGAAAACACATTAACACTACAGATTTACAAGGGATCCAGGTGAAATCAGCTCCCGTGATGCTGTAGGGGGAAGCCATGTCATCTGAGGAGCAGATGAAGGAGCTGGAAGAAAAGATTTTGGAAACAAGGGACTCTCCAGCTGAATGGCCTTTCTGTCTAGAAGATCCCAAGCCAAGATAAAAAAATTTTTAAGAAATCATTTGCAGCATCTAAGGAACCCATGCAAGTCAGTGAGGTTTCCTATCACCGGAAATATTTGATAAGGGCTTCTTCTTAGTGTTGAGTACTTAACAAGACCAGAAAATGGGGGTGGGGAAGAAGAAATGAGTAACGTTTGAGAATACCTGTATTTTTTTTTATGAACACATGGCTGCTGACAAACAGTCAAAGCTAGAAAGAGGAGATGGTTTTCGCTCACAGATCAAATCTAGAAAACCAGTTGTGATTTCCTTGATTAACTTTATTAAGAACAGAGGCAGACCTCAGTTTGTCAGGAAGCTGTGTCGTTATCAATTAGTAATGTCTGCTCTGAGTCTGGAATAGTGGCTTCGAGGAGGCTTCATGAGGGTGCCGTGGTCCATGTGTATAACCCCAGCACTCAGGAGGCCGAGGAGGAGGAGGAGGATGGAGAGTTTGAGGCCAGCCTGAGCATACAGTGAGGCTGTCTTAGAAGAAATGGAGAAAGAGAGGCAAAGAAAGAAGGAGGGAGGGTGACATTTGAGAAGCTTTGGCATTTGTTAGCTCTGATCTGCGCCTAAAACTATTTTTCTATTTTTTTATCAGTTTTGCATTTGTTAGCGCTCATCTATAAAGTCCCTAAAACTGTTTCTATTTTTCATTGTCATCAATTCTTGAATGCATGCAGGAAACAAATTGCTTTGCCATCTAACTAGTCAAACTAATGCTTACTAATATTAATCCTAACCCCACTAATGGAAGTGTGGGGAACACAAGAAGAAGCAAAGCGAAGGGCTGTCCACAGCCTAGATCAAGACAGTTTTCTTAAGACACAAATGAGAATCTCTTAGAAAATGTGTCATGGTCCATAATCTGTTCCCCAGCTTTTCGGGTTCATAAACTGAATGTCGTCATACGTAGCGGTCACCTGACATTTGATGCCAGGCTATGGCAACTGCATTCACATGGTACTGATGGTGGCCTTTCCAGTTGAACGAAGGGGGCTGTATTTTCCCAGTCACCCCAGAACATTTCCCTGAGAACTCAATCTCCAACACTCACCACAGCTGGTTTCTTTTCTTTTTTAGTTTTTTGTGGTGGTTGTTTATTTTGTTTTGATTTTACACCCCGATCCATGTTTCCCCTCCCTTCCCTCTCTTCCCAGCTCCTCCCCCACTGCTCTCCCCCTCCCCACCCTTGCCTCATTCTCCTCCACAATTGGTTTTTCTAAACTCTAGGGATTTTTTTAAATGACACATGTCTTTTTTTTTAATTCCCTATTATAGATTTTAAATTATTTCTCCAAAACTTTGTTTTATTGTGGTCCCAAGGATACAGAGAGAAGTAATATGCCATCCTGTCCTTACAGGAAGCCATACCTTTGAGAATTTGGAAGCTAGAGAACAAGATACACAGGATGGGTAGATACAGACTTAAATCTTCAAACCCTCACTGAGGGCTCCTTATCCGTATTGTTTCTAACGTTCTTCACTTTCCAGGCTCCTGCCTGTGCTACTTCACTTCTGGGATCCCCGAGTCTGACTTCCTTTCCTCCTGGAAGGAAACATTTCCTAAAAGACCTCTGAAGACTCCAACAGCCAGCCCACTTCCGTCTCTCAATGTGTGTCCCATACATTCTTGTCCTAATGACACCTGTTCTCCTCCTTGACATTCCTTTGTCGTGTACTTGGAATGTTCTAGCAACACAAGATGTAGGTGACTTCATTCTCTCTCCACCCTCTGCTTCCCTAGTGATAAATGACCTGACTTCTGTGCCCTAAATTATCTGGAAAATTGTTGTTCTGGAATCTCCAAGGATCTTGTGGCAACAACATAGACTTTTTCCTCCTAGTTCTCCTTCTCCGTGGTCTCTCTCTGCAGAATGTGAAACTCGCAACCTCAGATAACCTCCTTCTGGTTACTGCCAGGTGAATTAGCACTCTTCCCTCCACACTGATTTCCTGAGCCTTCTCAGGCTTCCAAACCACTCCCTATTCATTTCTTTTACTGGGTGCTCGTCCTCTGAGCCAAGCCTAACTGTGAGTGTTTCCTCCCTACTCCGTCTACAGCTTCAGTTTGAGTGTTCCAAGGGCTTCGCCACTGCCTCTGTGAGGGTCCACTTAGCCCTCAGCTGTCTCCTAAATGCCCATCGGTCTCGGGGTTCCTTTTAGTTTGCACAAACGGTCAGATTAAATGATTTATAATTATGAGGACTGAGGCCATGAGTGTAGCTTTAGTTAATACCTTAGGAGTGATTCACTCCCTAGTCACAGAGACAATGGTGACTTAAAGGATCCTTCCAAAACAGCCTCTTTCATATCCAGGTCAGCCCATCTCCTGGAAATTCTCTTCCTCTCTTTCTCTCCTGCTTTCTTCTAGGTTCTGAGTCCTGGTTCGTTTTCTCCCCCTCTCTCCCTCTCTCCCTCCCTCTGTCTCTATCAGCCTCATTTACATATGACATGCTGTACATCCTCATTTACATATGACATGCTGTATATCCTTGTTCTTTTTTCTCTTATCTTGCACAATCCATGCTGTCCCTTTGCCAGTGACTTCCAAGCGCAGTCACACACACTTTCCTGGACCCCAAGACACACACTGCCATGGGATAGATAGCTTGACTTGGGTGTTCACTGGGAGCCCCATCGCCAATCTTCCTATCCCAGTCCACCGTCTTTCCTACAAGGCCTGCCTATCCCTTGCTACTCATGTCAACTAATGATATTCCTTGAGCCCAAACCTAGAAACTTCTGGAAATCTTAGACTCCCCAACCACCCACTTGTACCCAGCCACAATCAAATGCCACCATTTAGTCCTTATCTTTCCTTCCTTCCCACACCACTGCTACCTTCTTGGTGTCTCGTTGTCTTTTTCCTACCTCAGAACCTTGAAAATCCTACTTTGCCTTCCTACCTCAGTTCCCCTAAAATCCTTCTACCCAAACTTAGGCTCTAAATGTTAAGGCTGTGCTCATTTGATGGCTTTTTTTTTCCTATGATTTCCTGTTTGACGGCTCTCATTAGTCCACTCCATGACTCTGGAATCAAGTCCAAATTTCTTAAAATGGCATGAAAGGAACTTCCCAAAGTGGCCCCAAGCAATTTTCAGGCTTCTCTCTTGGCGCTCGAGCAGGGTATCTTTATGCCAAGCCAAAGTTTTCAGGTTTTCGTCCTGTGTGTTTCCAACGCCTCTCCACACGGAGGCCTCTTTGTCTAGGTTGTTGTTTTAGGCAATGGCCTCCCACTCATACTGAAGGTGCAGCTCTGTGGCTTCTCCTCAGGTCCTACAGAATCCAGTTTCCATTTGCCTGCAGTTCACATATTCAAACAAATCTGTGTTTGAAAACTCTTGTCCAGCAGGCATCTCTCTGGGTCTCGTTCCCCAAACTCCCCCCGCCCCGGAAGAGCTAGCTCCTTCCTTAAGGGTCAAGACTATGCCCGTGTCTCTCTCACCTTTGCATCTACGGAGCCAAGGAATGTGCCTAACATGGCACGGGTAGAGAATAGGGAATAACTACTATTCTAAACTAAGGACGTCAGAACCGACTCCTGTCCTTGTCCTGCGGGACAAGGGGCTGGAGACGACAAAGGGTTTTCCTTACCTTTCTTGTTACAGCAAACCTTATGGCCAAGTTGTATTAATAATCAAAACACTACAGAAAAAAAAAATCTCTTCTCTTAAGTTTTCGCACCCACGGTGCCCCAAATTCCACTCAGATCAAAGGTAGATTTTTATTTTTTTTTTCATCTAAACAGCTTCAGTGATAATCTAAACAGCTTCAGTGAGATCATCTAAACAGCTTGGGTGACTACCTCTGCGTTCCTTCCCCTCTCCCATCAGTAAATCACGCCTTAGCCTAAATGAGACCAGCCAGATGATAATCCACCTAATACCTATTCTCACGGCATCCTCTACAGGGAAGTGGAAGCTGACCGGCGAGGACAAACTAAACTGGGATGTGGCCCTGGGGTGTCGACCTCAGAACACAGGATTAACTGCTGACGGAGGGGCGGGGGGGTGGGGGGAGCTCTGTAGAAAGAAGGAGTCAGCAAAGCAAATATCTAAAATCAATGATGGAAACAGGTTGCTGCTGGCTCCTTCCCTTCGCGGAGCAGGGAACACCCTCTCTCACACTCGGTGCAGCCCCGCCTCTACACTGGGGCTTGGCTCGGCCGGGGAAGAGCTCATTGTCCTCTCTTACTTAACTCCTGGAACCTCACGGTGGTTTCCACCCCCTGCCCCCATTATCTCTCCTTTCATCTGGTAAGGAGGTGCAGAAAGGAGGGTGAGCTGGTTTCCACAGTCCCAAGATGTCAGTCACAGAGGCGATGCCATCTCAACCCTCTCTTTCCCACCTGAGACGTTCTTACCTCCCACCTCAACTGCACCCGAGAGAGGGAAGGAAGGAGACTCGGCTTCCAAACAACAAACACGCCATGCATCCAGGGCTGTTCCTGCCGTGCAAGCACACCTTCGAGAAACTCGAGCCAAGCGGTGAAGATCTGCTACTGCCAACACCAAGAACGGAAGCCAGTACATCTCACTACGGCCATTCCAGACTTTGCTAGTCTGCAGAGAGACTGCATGGTCTTGGTCCTGTCCCCTCCAGTCCCACGGCAACAGGAAACTCGTTGTTTTTGTTGAATGCGCTATGTGTGAGGTTTGGAGCTAGGGGCTAAATGTGTCCCTCCTACTCACTGCCCCCATATCCTCTAAGTCACACGTTAATATGATTTCTTCCTTCCTTCTTTCCTGGAAATGCTCCCCTCCCCTCCCCGTGCCCTGCCGAAGGGAAGCAGAGACGGCCTGGCATAAGCAGTACTGTGGACTACCCATCTACCATGCAGAATGCAGCCTCCTGCTTCCTCTAAGACCTCCAAGAAGAGACACCCACTCCACCTAGAACCCCATAACTCCATCTGGAGCCCTCGCTGTGCCGTCCGACTCTTTATGGCGTCTGTCTTCATGCAATGTTGACAGCGCTTCTCATAAACCTCTTACCCAGAGGACAAGCCATCCCAGTGTGCCCCTGAAGCCCCCAAACCTTTCAGATTTTCTTTTCCTATGTTCAAGGGAGCTCACTAGAGATGACCACTCAAACACAGTGTACAATTGAATGTCTTTGTTCCGGCTTGCTGGGACCAGAACACGGAGGGGGTTGTTCAAGGGTAGAGACCTCATTGAGACATCTCTCACGGCAGCTGCAGGGGGCTTTCTAGGAGTAAGCAGTTGAAACAGTTTTAATAGAAGCTTAGATGACCCGTTAACCCGCTGGAGGGGGTTCTGCACAGACAGGCCGTTTTTAACAAATGCTGAGTTAGCTAGGTCATCCTGATCCTTGGATCCTAGAGTAGAGTTGGGTAGTTTTCCATGGGATTCTCCATCAAGGAGAGCAACTTCTACTTTATAATGAAATGGACTCAGCAAGAAGACAAGATGGAGGAACTCTGCGCCCTCTTGCCCCGTCTCACACACACACACACACACACACACACACACACACACACCTGTGGCCATAGTGGTGTGGCTACACTTCAGTACTGGCTTGAGTCCTTTTCAAACCTACTGGTAATACAGACATGGAGGGTACCCAAGAAGGGGTTAAAAATTAAAGAGCTATTTGCAAAGTGTAGATATGGTATAGTGGAGCTACCATGGGCATTATGATCTCCAGTAGAGAGAACATCCCATAGAGATGGCCTTCTTGAGAAGAGGGGTGTGTGTGTGTGTGTGTGTGTGTGTGTGTGTGTGTGTATAAGTGTATGTGTGTATGTGTGTATGTGTGTGTGTGTGTGTGTTATGATCACAGATAACAAGACAACCTTGGGTGTTGTGATTGCTGGTCCTCAGGGGCCATTCACACGTTGGTCTTTTTTTTTCCCAGCGGGAGGTATTTTTCTTTGTGAGACTGCCTCTCTCATTGGCATAGAGCTAGCAAATCAGGTTAGGCTAGCTAGCCCGGGGTCCCAAGGATCTACCTGTACCTCCTCTGCACTGGACTTACAAAGGCGTGCCACTGACTCAGATTTTGTTTTGTTTTGTTTTGTTTTCATGGTTCTGGGGATCCAACTCAGGTCCTCACGCTTGTGTGACAAGCACTTATGGAGAGCTGGCTCTCACACCCCCAGGATTCAGCTTTCAGTAACAGGATATAGCCAAGGCTCAGAGGAGGCCAGGCGAATGCGTTCTTATAACCTTCTCTCTTCCCTCTTCCGTTCCCCAGCGGGATCCAAACTGAGCAAGCATCATGCATAAGGCAAGAGGGTGCAGTGGTCTTCCTGGAGCAGAAAGTGAGATGGAGAAAGGTCAAAGGTCAGCCGTCTTGGGGAATGGGCGCTCACTACTTCTTACATTACGCTAGTATGCCTACATGCTGGCTGCTGGTTTCTCTCCTCCCATTTGTGTAGTTCTCAAGGAACAATATTAGCAGCTTTGTTGACAGGCTTTTCCGGTGCATGCATGTTTTTCTTCTGCAGAAATGCATGCACCAGCGCTGAAAAGACAAATGTCCTGGCTATACCTTCCAATGCTCAGCATCTCTCTCAAAGACCTGACGTAAGCTGAGCCTTGGCAAACACTGTTCAGATGGAGGCATCTCCCCAGTCCACCCATATGCGTTCTTGAAGAAGGGAATCACACTTTTGCTCCAGGCTGGCCTTTTAAGTAGGCACAGTGTGATTTCAGCAAACTTCTGCCCAACATCTCCCCGCTGCTTCTCAGCAAGATCTGGAATTCCTGTCTCAAGGAACAGTCTTTGTTTCACAATTAAATGAGATGAGCTTGCGAGGCGGAAGCTGTTGTTCTGAACTGCATACGGCAAGTAGGCCAGGTTTAATCAGTGCCAGTGAGCAGTTCCACGTGCTAAAGCACCAGAAAGCCCAAGTGCCTGATGAGGTACAGAGAGGTTCACCAAGAAGAGAAAGAAGGAAGACCAGGGTGAAGATGCCAAAGACCAAGCATAGCTTCACTGTTTGTCCAAAGGCAACTTGGTCCAGTTTGAAGTACGCTTTAGATGCTAGTTCGCAGTACGCCTGGATACCTAGAACCACTGTGTGCGCAGATGTGGGCCAGGAAGATGTGGGCAGAGTGATGAAGAAGCACGCACGACAAGCGCACATGACCAGGACCCAGAAGAGCCCCATAAACTGCCCTTCAAATACCAGCTCGGCCAAAGGCATGGTCTTCAAGCCCGCTTGCCTTAAAAACTCCACTCAGTTCAGTTATAGGTAGCAAATGTCATCCTTTCCTAAAACAGCCTGTGATGATAAAAAAAAAAAAAAGGTTCCATCTTCACCACAGCAATTTGCATTTCCGGGAAAGACTTTGACAGCACAAAGTTTAATGCAGGGTCTGGCGATGAACGGTCAGGTTTAGGACGATGGGATCTAGCCACGGGCTTGGCGTCCATTCCAGCCAGGCCACTAATTCATCACTTCACGAGCTCCCATCTCCTCCCCTGTGAGCAGAGACTAACAGTTCCTGACTTCCAGGTTAAGTGGGTTGCAGGAGAAAGTGTGCATAAAGACCCGACGCTGTCCAGCAGAGTAGGCTTCCGCGACAAAAGCTGTTGCTTGTCTGAAACCCAGCCCCGCCACCAGCGCTGGGGATCCAGCCCGGGGCCTAGAGCAGAACTGTTCTTACGCTTGATGGTCTCCGTGTGACAGACTGTGACAACAGCCAACATTACAGTCTATAGGGTCTTCACAGTTTGGAGAGTAAGCGAGGGTTGAATGCTCTGTCCTAAATAAGACATGTATGTATACCACCACCAACCCCCGAGGCTCAGGGGACACCATGGAAGAAGGGTGTGGGGGGGGGGTGAAAGCCAAATATCTGGAAGAATCGCTGTGAAGAGGCATCCTCTGGGCACGACACAGTCTTCACAAACAGGAACACAGAGCAACTGCCCAAAACCAGCTATATCAACAGCCAGTCATGGGGAGCGGAGGGGCCTGCGGGGCTCTGCCCCTTACCCTGGACCCACTGGGCTGCCAACAGTCTGGAAGAGCCGGAGTCCCCTTGAGCTCGCCAGGCTCTGAGGAATACTTCCAAACCAATAGCACAGGGACAGCCCTAATTAAACTCAGCAAGTCACAAGACAAAGCAAAAGGACATGGATGTGGGGAAGGGATGAGGGGAGATACAGAGGGCTGGGGATAAGAGTGATCGGAAGGTACTATATACATGTATGAATTTGTCAAAGGAAAAACTTAATTACCTTTTTAAAAGAAATTTTTAAAAAACTAGAAAATTCTACTTAGCCCCACCTTTTAGCCAAAATAAATTTATACAAGCTGAGGAATTCCAAGGCACCAGGTGCACTGCTGGTTTGCCAGCAGGTTAAGTCGGGTTTGCACCAGTACTGCAAGTCCCCAAGACTTAGGAGTTAAAACCCGAAGAAAAGGCTTAAGTTCCGTAATGGGAGCTAGCAGCTTCTGGAAAAACCAGCGGTATAAAAGGATTAACACTGCCATTATGCACGGTGGCTAATTGCATCGATTTAATGATGCACTGGGGCTGAGCACAATCCTGACAAAGACTCCAGAAACCCAAACAGAAGAGGCCCTCAGGAAGTGCAGGCGAGCCGAGGTGCCCAGAAATCTGACCTCCGGACAGCACCACTCACCCATTCCTTCCTTTTCTCTCCAAATGACTGGTTTTTCCACCACAGCGCCACTTTTTCTAGTAGAAATAGTAAAGGAAACATGTCTCCTTTGAAAAACTAAGATAAAATCCCTATGGACTCATTAATTTTCAAAGCCACAATGCTGGAAAACACAGTTTTAAATCATCGCAAGGGGGGTTGAAGAGTTGCTCAGAAAATAAATGTGCTGAAATTCCAGCAAAGCCCTTTACGGAGGACTTGCCAGCAAACTTCGTAGAGTTGCCATTAGGATTTAATGAAACAGAAGTGCAGATACGGTGCTTAGCACAGGAGCCGGGACTCAGAAATTCAGATGCTTTCCAAATAGGATCTGCATACTTCTTAAGTGGGCTTAGTCCAAGAATTAATAATCTTGGGATGTGATCAGTCTCCAAGCCTGTAGGGCCAGAACGGTCATGGTCAATTTCCTTCATACGACTGCATTAGATTTAAATAATTATTTAAGTCTAGTCCCCCTGCATTCTTGCCTGCTTGGGAAAATACGTGACTCAGAGAAAGAGCTACATTTGTTATGAAATTAGTCATCTGTTTTTAAGTCAGTCATCTAAGAATTTTCTAAATAACATTAAGAGATTAATTTTACTCCATATGATTTCCCTCTGACTTATACTTTATGTACTTGATTAAAATAGCTAGAGAAGTGAATTATTACTGTGTAGTTTAATCTCTACATCACATCTCTAAGATGAAATCTTCACTATTCTCTCTAGATTTGCAAAAACTTCATAAGAAAGGGAGAGAGAGGTTATGCTCGGTAATATTATAGCTTACATCCATCCATTCCTTAAATTACCAACATGGATGAGCAACAAAAAACATTCCTAAAAGAATTCTGTAAATTTATCAGAGTGAAAAATAGCTGCTAAATTTTGATACGTTCATCTGCCGTCTTTTTCGATTGGAGTTTGTGCGGGTTGGTTTATTTGGTTCTTCCAACTTTTCTATTTTCTTACGAAAACCAAAGGGAACACTACATTTCTGCTTTCTGTTCTGTGTCGCCGTTTGCCCCTCCAAAGGCAGTTTATCCACAGCCGGCAGCTGTCTGTTACAGAACCGTGTCAGCCTGACCCAAAGAAAAATCCTGTAATGCACAAGAGAACTGTAAAGGCTAAATTTAATTTATTTAATCTACATTTAATCCCCCTTTACTACTTCCTCACCGGGGTAAGAGAAAGCCAGCCAGGGAGTGCCCTAAATCCAGATTTCATAACACAGCTACTTGTCTCAGTGGTTTACTGGTATCAGGACGGTCTCAGCAGATCAAACAAATGACTTGACTGAAGAAGGAAGACGCAGGTTCAAGGCCTACTCTTCTCGGATACACATCACCCAAAGGCACCCTGGGAATGTCATGTAGAATCCTGGAGTTCTTATTCTTACAAAACATTTTCACACCTACGAGCGTCAGAACTTTATACCAAGAAAAATCAGCTTTTGACTAGCCTTTCCGTTTTCAACCTGCAAGAGTGTCAACATGTCCAGGACGAATGCTTGGAGAACAAAAGCAAAGGAAGTGGGGGGAGGCACTGAAAACCCCTCAGAGAACAGTGAGTCTCTATGAGGTGGGCCAAGAATCTAAAGAAGCCAAATGTCCAATATTCTCTAGAAACATAATGAGGAGGCCTGCACGCAATATCACGAAGCTCAATGTAACAATAGAACTGAGAGAGACAGCCATGAGCTGGCCTAGTAGTAAAAAAATTCTCATGAATGAGATGGCATCTCAGTCACAGTCTGCAGCTGAGGTGCGACATTTGAATGGTGTAAGCCATCCACAGAGAAGAATAAACACTGCTCCAAGCCGAGAGCAACAAGCAAGGGCCTCGAGATGGAACCACACACAGCGTTTCAGCTGAAAGTGAAAAGAAGGCCTGCTTGTGATTAAGGAAATGTTAGGTGTTTCCGTTGACTTATATATTGCTCATATTTTAATATTAAGTATCATTAGGCTACATATTTTATGGAATAGTAACTTGAAACACAGAAAAGCTGTGCGTCTTGCCCAAGGCCACGTAATTACTTTATGAGAACGTGGCTCTCCCGCCACCCTGCCACCTTCACCGCAGGGGGAACGGGGCTGGCTGGACAGGGGAGAGCGGGGCTATAGAAAAGACATCACAGAAGCTTGAGCATGCAGCCGAGGCGATGACAACCCTGCTCCCAGAGCATCAATCATGCCGCAGTGCACAGACTAGATCTCAGTTGCCACAGTGAGGAGCCAAGGAAGAGAAAGGCCGCAGATGCTGGTGAAATCATCCTGGGGAAATATTTGAAAGCCAAGTTTACAGCATTGGCAGCAAGACGTGATAAAATTCATCAGCTATTGGGTGGGAGGAAAATGGATAAAGTGGGTTTAAAAAAACAAATGGAAGCAAGCATCAGCACAGAAAAACGGATGGCAAGTTCGTCATCAAGTAACAGGATCGAAACTCTTTCCCCTCTGCTCCTCCTCTCTGGCCATTTTCATCCTTTAACCCTCTCCTTTCATTCTTTCAGTGTGTGTGTGTGTGTGTTCGTGTTCATGTGTACATGTATATGTATGGTCAAGCCTGTGAAGATCAAAGGAAAATCAGGCGTCTTTCTCGCTGTCCAACTTATCGTTGTGATAGGGTTTCGCACTGAACCTGGAGCTTACCAATAAACTCGACAGGCTGGCCAGCCAGCCTCAGGGATCCTCTCATCTGTCTCCTAGCCCTGGCGGGATCCTCATGTTAGGCTTCTTCACTCAGATTCTGAGAGACCGACTCAGCAAATACGAGCACATTTGCAACCAAGCTGTCCCCCATCCCCCATTCTTTCAGACTTTGCAGCCCTAAGTGGGTTAGGTTGTAAGAAACAGAAATCAGTGACAAATGCAAAAAATATTGTCAAACTCTTTTTCTATGCCTGCCACCTGCTGTCCTAATGCTTGATACTTATGCACTCATTAGGCTCCCAAGGTAACTCCAGAGAGAAAGCAAAATTGTTATTCCTACTTTAGAGCGAGGAAACAGGCTACACAGTTAACAGTGAACCTGGCTTCTAACCCACGCAGTCTGACTCTAGAGCTTACCCACTGAATCTACACTACCCTCCAAACTGCCACCAGGCAGTTTCCATCGCACTACAAAGACACTGGGGCGGCGGTGATGGAAGACTGGCTGCAGATTGAAGATTATTGAATTTTACAAGTTTCCCAGTGATCAGGCATGGACCTTATCAATAGCTTGTCATAATTACTCAGCTCTACAACTCTGTCACACGACTCTTGGAATCCTACGGCGCACTCCCTTAGCATTCTCTCCTGATCTTCAAACGTAACCTAGATTGTTCTATCGCTCTCTTTGATCTGTGGGTATGTTTACCTCTCCAGGGGCTCTCTAGACCCCTTGAGGAGCAGGAATTAGATCTTGGTCACCAATGTAAACCAGGTCATATTGCAAGTGCTCCACTAAACCTGTTGAAGACATGAATAAATTAATGAATATGAATATGGACCATATGTTCCAGCCAAACTGGTCCACTTCGAGTCTCCACCTGCTTGGTCTGTCAGTCCTCACTTTCCAGAACGGTCCTCTCTCTGCTGCTGCCCACACTGCACACTCTAACCCATCCTTCACAGGACTCAGCTCAACTCCTCCTATACCGCGAAATTCAGCCCAGTGGCCTCAACAATCCGGCGTCAGTTCAATGGCATGGGGACTAGCTGCTGTCTTCAATTCAAAACCAGACCCTAGCACAACAAGCTGCGCTCCTCTGGGATAACTCCATAAACTTCTAAGGTTTAGTGGTCTCCAGCTATAAACATAGGCAAATAATATCCTTCTGAGAGAAGCGGGGAGTGAAAGAAAACCACCTGAACACCAGGCTAGGGAAATGAGGGCTCCTCCCCGCACCCACACTCCTGTACCGATCAGGTAGCACTTAGGTGGCAGCATTTAGCATCTCCCTTCAATCAGACTTCAACGACTAGAGAGATCTTTGGGGACAGGAACTGTATCTCATCCACGGGCCTTACACAGAAACGTAGCCAACATTAAGAACAAAGCGATTGTGAGGTGGGCTGTGGCAATCACATGCGAGCGGCGGCAGGGCTAGAATCACGCATCTTCATGTAGCTTTGCTGTGGAATTATCACACGGCGCCTCTGTGATCTCGCTCGTGCCCAAGGCTCGACCAGCAAGTGCAATAAAGTCAAAGGTTTGCCCCGCAGCAGCGTGGCTCTCTCCGTGCCAATCAATCAGCCTTAGGTTAGGTTGGGGGCTTAATGCTTGCCATTGGCACAGAAAATCAAAAGCTAACACTAAAGCAAACCTAGGAAAATCAAACCCCCAAATCTGTGGTGGTTATCAGTAGAATAAAAGCTCTTTGCTTTTTCCATAAGTTTCAATACCCAGGCTTCCCCTCTCTGAACCTGCCAGAGTCCTCTTTTTCCTCGATTTGTCACGGCCTCCATTTATTGTACATTATCTTCGCAGGAATCAATTCCCATGCTTAGGGCTTTCTGTTTCATTCGGTTGCTGCCCTACTTGCAAGTACTGACAAGCCAGGGGAGCTGCAATCTGTTGGTAGTAACCTGCAGCCTAACAAGCTACTCTTGGTGAATGCCCTGGGCCACGTCCCCTTTCCCTGCAGAAACTATTTCTGTAGCTCTCGCTCCGTGGGATGTGCAGCTACAAATTTCATTGGAAGCAGCAATTACTAATGGAATCGTGCCAAGTCCCCGTGCTTTCGGTATTTTCCTGCTTCCATCTCCTTTTGGTTTTGCTTTTTCCCGTGGGGAGAAGCACGGGGTGAGAACTGGAACCTAACACCAAATTCACCACAGCAGAGAAAGGATACATACGGTGGGATAGTAGATGGCAAAGCCAAGACGGCCACAAGTCAGCAGCCATCATCAGGAAAACCGCCACCTTCCTCGGCTTTGCCCTCCTAACACAAAATCAACAGTAGCTGCTGACCCTGTGCCAGTGGGTGACTCTAGAGATTTATAAATCGTCCTATCTCAAAAAGCATCACATAATTCTAAAACCCGTGTGGCTCTACACATATAAACGCATGTGTAATATATTTTAACAAGAGCAATATCATAGCCTATGGGTAGATACGAAGCAATTTTAGTCTTGTAAAGAGCCAATTAAATATTTCACTGGTGCCGTCCCGCTGAAATCTGTGCATGGGGTATCCAAGGGACTGTGTTTGGCTTGTTTATTAAGAAGGAAAATCTAGTTTGGGAGTAGAGGTGAGAGTCTGTATTACAAGTCTCAAAGTAGTACCATTCTATAGCCTGCATTCACACTGTTACAAAAATCCTTGTACTTGCAGTCAGACAGACCCAAATTCTCCCTCTGGAACCGGTCAGAGATAACACACTGCAGGCGAGGTCCTCACTTCTGGGGCTTAGGGTTTCTGCACGGTGGTCTTCACACGACTTTAACCATGAGTTTAGAAGTATCAAATAACCCAGAATAGCTTCAAGATTTTAGTTGCATCATTACATTTGAAGATTCCTTAATTGTTCCTTGTGTACAGTTTCTTAGGTAAAAAATGAATATACTTTAATTCACCAAATAAAAAATCATCTACATAAGAGATTGTATATGTGTGCTGTGTGTGTATAATACATATTATGTATATAAATGTGCATACATAATAGATATTTTATATATATTTCCTACATTGTGCTTCTTAAATGTGGCAACTTTGAACACTAACAGTTGAACATACTCTATTTTTGCTGTTCAGTTTCCTGGTCCTTCTGACAGCACTGACTCCAGCACACTCGCTACTTACTGCAGTTCCTAAAGCTGTTTAAAATGTCAATCTGAAAATTCGTGTTTCAACTGTACTTTGTAACCAGATTTCTTCTATTTTTCCTAGTTAGCAAATACTGAATACTGCCTAAGTTAGCATTACTCAATGGTCCTCAAAGGCAAAATGGACTCATCTGAACTCCACCCATTTTCAGTTTCAACACAGCAAGTCTCCTGTCGTACCCAGGGCAGATACAAACGCATTGAAAAGGTATTGGTTATTACTGCATATTAATTTATGCAATCATCAGCCAAAGATGCTAAGCCGACAAAAAGAAAACTGTCCAAGCAAGCAAACCTGAGGACCTGTGAGCCACGCCCTCTCAGTATATAAAGGCTTGTCCCTGTCCTTGGTAGCAGGCACTCCCTGGGCTACCCTACATCACCATGTCTGTTCGTTACAGCTCCAGCAAGCAGTACTCTTCCTCCCGCAGTGGAGGAGGAGGAGGTGGTGGAGGATCATCCCTCAGAATTTCCAGCAGCAAAAGCTCCCATGGTGGAGGGTTTAGCTCAGGGGGGTTCAGCGGTGGCTCCTTTAGCCGTGGGAGCTCTGGGGGAGGTTGCTTTGGGGGCTCTTCAGGTGGCTATGGAGGTCTTGGAGGAGGCAGCTTTGGTGGGGGCTATGGAGGAGGCAGCTTTGGTGGGGGCTATGGAGGTGGCAGCTTCGGAGGTGGCAGCTTTGGTGGAGGCAGCTATGGTGGAGGCAGCTTCGGTGGCGGCAACTTCGGCGGAGGCGGCTACGGAGGAGGCTTTGGTGGTGGATTTGGAGGAGATGGTGGCGGCCTTCTCTCCGGAAATGAGAAAGTGACCATGCAGAACCTGAATGACCGTCTGGCTTCCTACATGGACAAGGTCCGGGCTCTGGAAGAGTCAAACTACGAGCTGGAAGGTAAAATCAAAGAATGGTATGAAAAGCACGGCAACTCAAGCCAGCGCGAGCCCCGGGACTACAGCAAATACTACCAAACCATTGAAGACCTTAAGAACCAGGTAAGGGGCATTTAAAATCCCAGCTTCAAATCATGCCTACCCATGTAATGTGGACAGGTGAATCTAAGTTAAGCATAGCACGGGCTGATCACTGTGCCTACCTGTTTGTTTTTCCATGTCTAGTGGACCCAGGTCTCATCAAAGATGTTTATGAAGGCAGGGCATGTCTTTTACACCGAGCATGTGTGTTGCCTGTCTTCCAGGAGGACAGAATGACTGAGAACCTTTTAGGTTTTAACAAACACAATGAGTTCACAGTCAAAATATGCTAGATCATGTACAAATGTAGGAACTAAAAGAATTTTAAATGGGGATAGATAGATAGATCTCAATCATTAAGGCTGATAACAAGTAAGCCATACCCAGCACCAACATTTGCAGGAGACCCAACTTTCCAATAGAGAAATGATATACTCCCTGTCTCTAGGGAGTCTGTCAGCCACATCTGGAGGTTCAGGGTAGATGCACTGAGAAGTATTTACAACAAATTAAGCAAATACAGATGGGAGTCGCTCAAAAGTTGGCGGCAACACAAGAAAATCACAAACTGTATAATAAAGAGTCCTCATTGCAGGAATATACCCATATAGTCCCAGCCGGCGTTCAGAAAGGAATCATGGCTATAAAAGTACTGAAAAAAAATATTATATGGGCAAGTTTGTACTAGTCTATGCTTAACCTAACCTCCCTTCAAAATTCTGGAAGAGAACTATATAAAAATGCAAAACGCCTATGCTAACCTAAAAGTCATCAACCCATCTCTTGTCTCTCCCTCCAGATCCTCACCCTGACTACTGAAAATGCCAATGTCCTGCTGCAGATCGACAATGCCAGGCTGGCAGCTGACGACTTCAGGCTGAAGTAAGTTGAGTGGGTGTGGTACTAAGAAAGGAGGTGTTTCCAACAATGACTCTGGAGGCCCACAACAGCATTTATATTTTCCTGAACTCATCCACAGCAAAACAGCTCTGAGCTATTGAAGTTTTGACTGTAATATCTTTGGGGCGACTTTTAAAGGAAGATGTGTCTTAAAGTAACAGTTAACTCTTTGCATCAAACTATTGCTATTCCTCCATGAATTAGTGTATTACAAACGGTGCCAGGATATGAAATCAAATCTGTATTTATAGTCGGTCTTCGTCCAGGTCTGCATTCCTCCATTGGTCTGTATACCCAGGGTTTGTATTCTGCTTGTTTCAGATATGAGAATGAAGTGGCCCTGCGCCAGAGCGTGGAGGCCGACATCAACGGCCTCCGCAGGGTCCTGGATGAGCTGACCCTTAGCAAGGCTGACCTGGAGATGCAGATCGAGAGTGTGACTGAAGAGCTGGCCTACCTGAAGAAGAACCATGAAGAGGTGACAGAAAATTACATTCCCCCTTTAAGGGGGAGGGGTGTCATCTTGGTCACGGCGCACTCATTAAATCTAACTATTCCTCAAACAGGAAATGAGAGACCTTCAAAACGTGACCACTGGTGACGTGAACGTGGAAATGAATGCGGCTCCAGGAGTTGACCTGACTCAAATGCTGGACAACATGAGAAGCCAATACGAACAGCTTGCAGAAAAGAATCGCAAGGATGTAGAAGCCTGGTTCAATGAGAAGGTAAGTCATTGCCCTTCTCGGCAAAAGCTCCTTGAGAGCTTGTGATCATGCCCGGGTGTCCTCATCTTTTCCCGTTTTTAATCTTTTAGAGCAAGGAACTCACCACAGAAATTGACAGCAACATTGAACAAATGTCCAGCCATAAGAGTGAAATTACTGAATTGAGGCGCACTGTGCAGGGTCTCGAGATCGAGCTGCAGTCCCAACTGGCCCTGGTATGTTAAATCTTGTAAAATGGCTTTCATTTTATCCTGCAATGTTTCATGCTAAAAATGGGGGGGGGGGGTTGTAAAAAGTGGAACCGAAATCACAGCTTTGCAGGGTCGGGGAAAACTGTTGGCATCGTGCTCAAACTGCAGGGCTCCTAGCCACTTCCCTTCTGTGGCGACGTCTTGCTGGAAGAATTTCCATGTTTCACTGCACTTACTAAAACCTTCTTCTCAGAAACAATCGCTGGAAGCCTCCCTGGCAGAAACAGAAGGTCGCTACTGCGTGCAGCTCTCCCAGATCCAAGGCCAGATCTCCGCCCTGGAGGAACAGCTGCAGCAGATCCGGGCTGAGACCGAGTGCCAGAACTCCGAATACCAACAACTCCTGGACATTAAGACCAGACTGGAGAACGAGATCCAAACCTACCGCAGCCTGCTCGAAGGAGAGGGAAGGTATAACGGAAACCTGCGAAGTCCCCTGATTGCTCTCGTTCAGGGTTGCCCATAGCCAAGCTTGCCCAAACCCAAGGAAACGCCAGCGGGCGGGGCAAAGGAGGCGGGAAGGGGAGAGGGATGTCTTCAGGAATCAGGGCTGTGTATGAACATCTATGGATGGACAAGTGTTTGAGAATTAGTAGACAAGCTTGACTGGATGGTATTTTCTCAAAACATGAGTCTGGAGCGCAACCTGACGCTTCCATGCTAGAAGCGACCGCATCTGACCCTCACCCCCCCCTCTAGTTCCGGAGGCGGATCCTACGGCGGCGGGCGCGGCGGCGGCAGCCACGGCGGAAGTTACGGAGGCGGCAGCTCCGGTGGCGGCGGCAGCCACGGCGGAAGTTACGGCGGCGGAAGTTCCAGCGGCGGCGGCAGCCACGGAGGCAGTTCCGGTGGCGGCTACGGCGGCGGAAGTTCCAGCGGCGGTGGTCACGGCGGCAGTTCCGGCGGTGGCTACGGCGGCGGAAGTTCCAGCGGCGGCCAGAGCGGAAGCGGAGGATTCAAGTCTTCTTCTTCCGGGTCCGGTGGCGACCAATCGTCTAAAGGACCAAGGTCAGCAGAAACTAGCTGGGGTAATCTGAATTAGTTCTAACTTTCTCCGATGATTTTGTGGCTCTTTCAACTCAAGAGCTGATTTTAAAACAATGGAAATCTCCATTTAGATTTTCATTTGTGTTTTTAATAGACGACGTCAATTTGGAAAAAAAATGCTTTCTGCAGCGTGGAATTTTTTTTTTAGAACTCGGAAAAGATGTGCATTATCTTTTGTAATCTAAGCTTGTTAGCTTGTTAGGATCTATACAAATCGTTTCCCCTAAATTCTAATTTTTTTTTCTATTCACAGATACTAACAAAACCAGAGTGATCAAGACGATTATTGAGGAGGTGACACCTGATGGTAGAGTCCTTTCGTCTATGATTGAATCAGAAACCAAGAAACACTTCTATTAAGCTGCATAAAGAAGAGTCTCTTTGCACAGGCCATTGCACAGACGTGTGGGAAAATGTCCAAGAAAACACTTCTGTCCTAATGGTCTATGGAAATAGGTTTGCTCCTTGAAAGGGTTTAAAAGGTGTTTTGTGGTTTCTGTGTTTCTTCTTTTCATTTATCAGAAAGTGTCCTTTTATGGAGAAAAAAAAAAGACAACTTTCTCATTTACTAATGAATTTCTCATTTACTAATGAATTTCAATAAACTTTCTTACTGATGCAAATGATCTAAATCTGTCAGAATTTTTATTTAATTGTGTGGGTGTGCTCAGACAAATATGAGTAATGTGGGTGAAAAAGTTCATCTTTCCCCCAAAGGTACACCTTCTAAAGATACACAATCAAAATTGCTATGCAGCCAATGAAGTTATTTTGTGTGCCGGGTGATGCCAGTGTGTCCAAACAGACATCTCTAAGTCTCCTGCTTTCCCCAGTTCTTTTGTAAACGATACAAAAGACCTTGTCCTTGCAGTGTACACTGAATTGTATCTCTCAACTATTTAGACCACACCCGTGCTGGCTAGTTTTGTGTCAACTTGACAAAAGCTAGAGTCATCTGAGAGGAGGGAAACCTCAACTGAAAAATGCCACCCTAAAGTTTAGATTATAGGCAGACCTGTACACATTTTTTAAATTAATGACTGATGGAGAATGGCCCAACCCAATGTTGGTGGAGCCACCCTGGGCTAGTGGCCCTGGGTTCCATAAGAAAACAAGTTGAGCAAGACTTGAGGAGCAAGTCAGTAAGCAGCACTCCTCCATGGCCTCTGCATCAGCTCCTGCCTCCTGGTTCCTACCTTGATTTCCTTCAATGATGAACAGAGGAAGCCTAAGCCAAATAAACCTTCTCCTCAAGTTGCTTTTGGTCATGGTGTTTCATCATATCAATAGTAACCCTAAGATACCAACTGTAAGATTCGGTGCAAGAGGGACCTTTGCAGCATCCCAGTCGGGTCCAAACCGCAGTGGGCAACAAAGTACGCCACCGTGTAGAGAGAAAGAGCTTGTGCATGTAGTTTTATTCTTGTAAAATACAGGGAGCCGACTTGGAGGGTTCACCTTGAACTGGTCAGGTGCACTCCTCCCTCAATTACCCGGCCCTAAGCAGGCCACCTTTCCCTGGTCCTGACACCCTCCCCTTCAATAGCCAGCACCTTAAAAAAAAAAAAATCCTAAACTTAGCCTTGTCCTCTGCTCTGCCAACACCTCGCCAGGTCCAAGAGATACCGGACAGTTCCACAGAGCCTGGGCAGCAGTGAAGCAACGGGCTACCCCAGGACGAGGCAGCACCCAGCTGTCTCAGCCTCCCCTCTCCCTGTCCCAAATCAGTAGGAAGCAGTCTTGAAAACTTGATGCCCTCATCCCCTTAACCTGCCTTGCCAAACTCTTCATCTTTTTTAACCACAAAAAAAAAAAAGTGAGGAATGTTTTTATCCAGGCACACCTTGGCCCTGTCCCTTGGGCACAGTCACCCCTTGGCTTAAGGCAAGCAGTTCCACTGTATGCAGTGCAAAGGCCCCTTTAAGAAACAAGCCCCGCCCACTCCTGATCTCTCTCCCACCTTAGCAAGCCCTCTCAGACCTCTCCTCTCCTTTTCTCTCTTTCTCTCCCCTCCCTCTCTCTGTCTCTCTGTCCATCTCTCCCTTTTAATAAAACTTCATACTCAAGCTCTCTGCATGTGGCCTACTTTGTCACCAGCAGCGCTTTGGGCCCGACTTGCTATGGGGTGCTGCAAAGGTCCCTCTCACACCGAATCTTATACCAACTGACATTACTTGATACTCTACTTGGAAGTGCTAAAGGGGAAAGTCACGGTGTGGGTTCTGGGTTGCCCATGCCTGTTGAGTAGCAACTTCAGCATCTTTCTGGGCTTGAATGCCAGTGTTTCTCAAGATCTGAGTCCTGATCCTTTGCTTTTTCAGTGGGACTCTACTAAATAACCCCTCCCCTGGTATATAACACACTTTAGAATGTGTCCTAGTGGGAAGTGCCCCTCCTCAGACATTGAGAACCAGGCTTTCTTTTCACACCAAGAGTCTCTATAAGAGACACTTTCTCAGTCTATGTACTTGGAGATTCCTTTGTCAATCTATGTACTTTGAGACACCTTTGGGTTACTAAATTGTATCCCAGTGTAAATCTAAACTAGATTATAATACTAATGAGGAGAGGACTGGGTCTGTGTTACTTATCACCGTGAACCCCACCCTAGCACGGTTTTCAACACCAATTGTTAAAGCCCAATAAGTACTCGTTGAGCAACAAAATTAGTGAGTCAGATCCAAATAAGTAAATGTAGTACCTCCCAAAATGAACCCAGAAATGCTGGGGACTAAGGATCAAAAAGTATTCACTGCCACTGTATGACAATACAAACGAGACCAGCCCTTTTGTACAATTAGTATATGATTGTTTTAAACACTTCGTAAACAAAATGGAAATGATTCAGTTGAGCCAAAAAGGCAAAAAGTACCCAGGGCCTTCCATGTGTTAGAAGCTTGGTTAGCTCTCCGCCTTCAGTCCTTCCCCTTCCTCTAGTAACAACAGCCCCCGTCCTAGCAGAATACTAGAGAAGCTCGAGGGATGAAGGATGCGACCAACTGTGAATGTGGAGAAAACCATCCAATGCCAAACAACCAAAGCCCTGGACCCTTGGTCTCCTTGTTCATCTGGCACTGGAAAGGTAAAGGGTGAGGGGACCAGCCCCATTAAGGAGGTAAGAAACTCTGTAAGCGTTAGTGCAGAGAACCCTCCCAGCATAGAGAAGATGGAGGACAGAGACAGCAGAAACAATCTTTTCACAACCAATCCCAGGAGCCTGCTGAATGAAAAGGAGGACATGACTGCTCCTAGGTGTGGTCGAGAAGGTTTTCCTTGTAGGTATGGGGAAAACACGGCCAGAGGCATCTGGAAGAGTCCAGACTGGGCACGACCAGCAGAGTAGACAGGACCATGAGAAGAAAGAGAAAGGGGAAGAGTAAGAGAAGAATAGAAGAGAGAAGAGCAAGAGAAGGGACTATGGAGCGGGGAGAACCAGGAGAAGCACACAAACAAACAGACTAAAAGCCAAAAATGAACAAGAGAGTGTATGACCAAACTGGCTGAGTTACATAGGAAAGAGAAGCTGGGGAGAGGGAAGCGAAGCTCATGGGCTGGAGAGGTTTAGGCTGGGGCAGGGATGAGAAGTGTTGAGTGAGCCAGGACTCCATAACAGGGACTTGCAGTGCTGGGAGTGTCCACTTGGATATGGTAATAGGCACCTCAGCTAGTCATTTGTCCTGAATTCCTTCCACACTTAACCTACCCAGAAGAGAGCTTAGAGTGCCCAAGAATTTAATTCAGTGGCTAAGGTGCATCCACGCATTCAGCAAGCACAGTTGTGCAAAATATGTCACAAACATGCTATATCTTGAAAGTAAAAAGAAAAAATATTACGACTTAGTCACTTCCTGTCATATATACCACGGAAGATGTGACCATTAAGGGACCAAAGATCATGGACAAGGTACCAAGGCAGTCAAAATGGCATCTCGGAGAAGGTCTTTAGAAAACCTGACTCTCTTGGACCAATCCTGGGGATGGCAGGACACAGCTAATTAGAAAGAATGTGGTATCTAGACCAGCCAGGAACGTGCTTAAAATGCACGCTCCACGCTATGGCTGCTCTAAGAAAACTCCCTCGGTATCATTATTGGTTCTCCTTAATTCAATCAGATCTGGAGAGCCCATCTCACTGTGTAAGGGAATATATTCATAACCCCTGACAGTTACAGAGGGGATTTCAATGAGGGACCATTCCATTTCCTACTGCAAGAATAATTCTTGGTTTCTCTCTCTTCCACTTACCCCTACCCTTACAACAGCTAGTCGCTGCCAGGTGCTGATTAAACCGTCTTCACAGTTATCATAATGCCGTCTAGCTCAGCCCTGGCGTGGGTACCCTAATGTCTCCCCCAAATTACTGTGGCTATCTTTCTACTGATTTCTCACACCGATTCTCATTCCGTCACCAGTCACCCTCCACACATCAGCAACAAAACAACAACAACAAAAACAAACAAGCTCCCTGCTTATATTTCTCAATGGTTACCTTTCACTCTCAGAATCAAATTTCAAGTCCTCCCCCCCCCCCCGCCCCACCAGCCCAATACACCCTTTTCTCAGGCGCCTCCTGGCACACCACCATCCATACGTCCTCCAGTTCCTGGAAGGCACCACACTCTTCCCTCCAGCAATGGTTTGGCTGTGGTTTGAGTGTGCTCCCCAAAGGTGCACGTGTTGGAAAGTTGATCACTGGGACGGCAGTGCTCAGAAGTAGTGAGACTCCTAACGGGAGCTGGTTAGATCCTTGTGGGCACCACCCTTGGAAGGGACCGATGGAGTGCTCAGGAGACCTGGGTTAGCAGTCTGTGAGTGCTGCTGTGGAGGAGTGAGCCGGAGAGACCGCTCAGCGGTGAAGAGCACTGGCTGCTCTTCCAGAGGACCTGAGTTCAATTCCCAGCACCCACATGGCAGCTCTCGGCTGTCTGTTACTTCAGTTCCTGGGGATCTGATACCTTCACACCAATGCACATAAAGTAAAGTTAAATAGATTATTTTTTTTAAAGAGAGTGGTCCTGACAATCTCCCTTTTCTGACACTCCCTCCATGACTCCGTCTTCATGAGGTCCTTACGAAAGCAGAGGACAATACTCTGGTCTTGAATGTCCAGAACTATTAGCTAAAACTAATCCTTTCATTAGAAAGAATCCAGTCTCCGGTAACTTATCCTATTGATTGACTAATAACTAATAATAAAATAACTAATAACTAACATCTCCTAGGGTTAAATATAAATATTTTATTCATAATTATATTCTAAGAATGTCTCTTCATATCCCTACCTAGAAAATTTTTCATCTTTCTTGTATTTCCTTAATGTCATTTCTTTAAGAGTACCCCAGCTGAAACTAAGTCTTCTTCAGTAGTTGTAGATTGTTTCTTTCTCTAACTTTTAACACAATTTCTATTTTATGATTATTTACTTAGGACAAACTCCTCATCACCCTCCCCCCAAAAAAAAGTCCTTAAGAATTGAGAATGTATATGTTTTTCTTTCTGTAGTACCTGCTTCTAGCATAGGGCCTGGTATATAATAGGTGTTTGTTAAATATGTCTTATTTTAAGGCTTATTTAGTTTTATTTGGGGGGGGGGTTGCCTCACTCCACTCTTGCAGTACCTGTTTTG